GTTATCCCGAGCTACACTCGGGATTACCGCTAAGGAGGTTAATATTTCACCCCCATTGTTTTTAGCTGGTTAGTGGGAATGGAGGAGGAGGAAGAAGAGAGTGGGCTGTAATTTACCACTGTGCATATGCCCACATGTGGGACTTTATAGTCACATGGGTACTCAGATGTTATAGGGAGGAAATGCTCAGCATAGAAACTCACTGAAAACTGAGCATGTGCAGTAGCTGCCAACACTGCTCTGAAAAAACCCCAACTGCATTGGGGACATGGACAGAAGGGGGAAATAGAACAGCAGGATCAACCAGGTTTTTTGCAGAATACAGACAATGAATCCCATAGTGACTGAGTATGAACAGCATATAATACAGCATTTACTGTTTTTTTTTTTTTATGATGTGGGTTTATTGACACTTTAAACTTGTTTTTTTTTCTTCATTACTCACAAGGGGGAATTTCATTTATACTGTCCTTTTAAAATAAAACATGCAGTAATTTAGAGGATGGGTGAATGGTGGAGTGTAGCATAACACTTTTTTTAGGTCAATACTACATTTTTTATACATGTCTATACATCAGATCATAAAGTGAGACAACTGAAGAGAAAAAAAGGACAGAAGTTTCAAGAGCTACGCAGGTGGCCAGTACTATCCAATATCACTGGCTTGTGGTGACCATGATGGAACATTGATGGCTTCATTTGTAAACTGGTTATAAGAAGGATACCTATTGGTTTTTTATTTTCCAACAATTTGCTCTGATAATATCTGTGCCTGACACCTAAATGTGTTTCCTGTGTATAGTACGATTCCTTGTGTGCCGTATGTTGTATTGCATTCTGTACCTGCTGTGTACATCTATCTATTGCTATTCTGAGAGCTTTTTAAATTAATATTTAATGAAGAGAATCAAACACAGATATAAATGACATTATAACCCTTGTTCGTTTCACATGTTATGTTCATGATTGTAGTTCACCGATGTCTGCTTGAAATGCTTCTGCCTAGCAGCGATGCGTCCCTGGAAATTACATTAAATCAACGTCAGGAAGGAATATGAGGGCTGAAAGATGAAACTCCCACTTATGTTACCGCATTTATAATGAGACATTATACTGCAAGCAACAGATATGTTTCAGTTAGCTGTCAAAAAACACTGCTGTATTTTCTATTAATTCAAACCAGATTTGCTTTCTTGTCTTTCTCTTTCTCCCTCTATCCTTCCACCATACTAATCTGATGAGCAACTGCCTAGAATAGCATAATGAAGTTAATGGAACCATGGGCTAAATCTGGCAATGGAACAGATGAGGCAAATGTTGGGCGAGGGACCACCATTGATCAGCTTCTGGGGAGCTCAGCCCAAAATTGAGCTTTAAAAAGACACTGTCATCTTGCCATTGCAATCAAAGTGATAGTGTCTCTGCAAAGGGCACCCCCGTAACCTGCTTTGCCTTCACTACCTCCCCAATAGTGATAAGCCAAACATATCTGGAATTGGTTAAGGGCCGGTTTGGCGAACATTACCACAGTACAGTTGGCTTATCCAAGCCCCAGTGAAGTCAATAGGATCCTTATGTTAAAAAATAGTAATGGCCATTTTCTAGACTAATATGCAAGGAACTATTAAATAAATTGCATAGGGACTGGGCACTGCCCTGGGGAATACAGTATGTACCCATGCAAAAAAATAAAAAATTCCATTTGGCGTAGAACAGCAATTTTAGTAATGTTTTAAGGGCAACATCAAAAATTTTAAATTCCCTTCCGGCCTGGTATTAATTTTAAGAGAGAAAAAATGGTTCTATACCAGACCCTTGGGGTCTGGTATGATTCTAAGTGGGAGCCCCATGCAAAAATCAAGAAGAATAAAACATGAGGCCCCCCAAAAATCCATACCTTATCCCACCATTCAACCTGGTAGGCCAAAAATGGGGGAAAATGAGCATGTAGCCCCTTCCCCTCCTGAAGCATACCAAGCCACATGCCCTCAACATGGGGGGTACCTTGCCAGGGGTAACTGCCTGTCAAAGCACCTTGTCCTCATGTTAATGAGGACAAGGGCCTCTTCCCCACAACTCTGGCTCAGTGGTTGTGGTGGTCTGTGGATACCCCCCATATGAATGAGTAAAGTGGTACACAGTACCCCAACTCATTCACTAAAACATGTAACATGTAAATAGAGACAGATACAGTTTTTGAGAAGTGAAAAAAAAGTCCTACTTTATACAAATCAACCACACCGTCCAGTGATGTAGATCCATGTCATTCATGATGCCCGCTGACCTGCTGAAAGAAAAAAAGATTGTCAACACAGGTCCAGCAGTTGACAGCTGACATAAACAAAGAGACAGGGTCTCCTGAGTGATGTCATATACCAAATATTGACATAATATTAGGTCAATGAGTATTGACCACGTATGGCCATTTCCACATATAGCCAATGATGTCACCCGAGAGACTTCACCCTTTTTTTTTAGATTTTTTTTTATAATAACGGGGACCGGAAAATGTAATTTGGTTGAGAGAAATTATGGGTAAAAAAGTATATGGCCGGCTGGCATTTTGTTTCTTTCGATGGGCATCAGGCTTAGGGCTTTTTTTTAAAAAGTGGGTATGTGTTTTTTTTAAGCTTTTTTTGTGAATGCAGGAGTGCTATATACCCCTTACTCATTTTCACATGCGGAATATCTTAGTACCACCCTTATTGTTAAAGGAGGCTTACAGATTCCGATAAGACCCTTCCCACAGACCCCCTCATCCATTGGAGCAGGTGCTATGCCTGGGGGGACAGCCTGCTAGATTGCATATTCTAATCTGTTGTGGGGTTTTTTTTGTGGGGGCATTATTCTTTTTTCTTGTTCTTGATTTTTGCATAGGGTCCTCCCTTAAAATTTTTACCAGACCTCAAAGACCTGGCATGATATAGAAGGGGAACCCCCACACATTTTTTTTTCTCTCCCCAGCCAATAAATGAATGGGGTCCAGTGATGTTGTTGGTTGCTAAGGTGCTGGCACTCCCTGATTCCTTAACAACCATTGGCAGGAAGAGTGAAGCTGTCATATATAGTAGCACTGATGATGATGCACGGATATGCAGCACTGTTGCGCACTGATAAGCGGCACTGCAGCAGGAGAAAAACCTGTTACAGTATATGATGTTCAGCTCCTGTGGAACGGGTTGAAGATCTGTTTTCGGACAAACGCCCGAACAAGCAAAGTATGGTCTAAACCTGGAGCTCATCCCTACTCGCCACTCCTTCTGCCATTGCAGCCAACACTGACATAATTGATGTTGGTGACCCGAGGGAACACTGACATCAAAAAGATGGAAAAGTCAGTTTTACAAAAAACAAGAATGTAGTACATGTCTTTTGTTCCATTTCAACTCACACAGGGTCGAGAAAGTAAACCACAACTTTCACAAAACTACAAATGAAGGGATAAAAAATAAAATGCACTGACCATAAGCAACACTTACTTTCATCACATTCTAAAGATTGTTGTCTGATCTGTAAAAAAACAAAAAAAAAGTATAGTGTGGAACAAGGTCATGAATCATAGGTAAGATTTCTTTTCATGTTGACTAGCCATTCCATTGTGGTCTCCATTTCTCCCTCTCTGCATGTAAAGATAATGTAGATAACGATTGTTTTTTTTTCTTCTGCAATTCATGGAAGAGAACAGAACCTAAAATTGTTCTACCCTCCAGCCTGTTTCTTCTTACCTTCTTGACCAACTGAAGACTGTGAGAACGTGGAGAGAAACATGAAACTTCTACAATACATTGCCTAACTCATGGGAGTGACTCAGTAAGAGGAATTTAGAGCTTCCAATGCAATTGCTCATCTGTGGGTGATAAATACAAATTCAGAAATCTTGTTGGTTATACCATTCAATATAACACAACCCAAGAGGGAAGGACAAACAACTGTTATGTATTGCAGCCTTCCTGATATTTTTATTCTTTTTTGTTAGCACAAAGCCAGCTTTGGCTTACATTTTGCTGTAAACTCAACGTTCTCTTGCAATAAACTAACTGGATAAAATATTAATCCTAGAGTGATGAATACATATTTATTTCAGTTTGATTTATTTTCTCATGTTACTTTTAGTCCTTTGTTTTTATTTGCAGTCTCCCGTTCTCTTTTTTTAATTCGATCACAGAGGGACGTGGGTGGAATTTTTTCACTTATTTCCCTAGGGCTTTGCTTGCTCTCCCCAGCAGGGTTCTTTCAGATACATGAATCTGTTTGTACGTGGACGTCTTTCTGTTTGAAATTTATTGCTCTCCAAATGCACAACTGCAGGGTAATCACCATAATAAATAGTGGATTGTGTATGCTACATTTTATAGAAGTTCCAGGAGCAGAAAACTTTCTTTTGTCTTTTTTCAGCCCATCACCCCTGTTGGGTTTACTTTGCTTCCCATTCTATTTATAAAGCTTTAGGCTCCAAGCACACTAGCTCAAAAATGCTGGAAAAATGCTGGTAAAAAAATGTAATAGCATTTTTAGCAGTGTTTAGAACCATTTAGCATTTTATTAGAATTTTTATAGTACATGTATATGTAGGGAAAAAAAGCTAGAAAGAAGCATTTAGCAGCATTTAGGAGTGTTTAGCCTTTTTTTCTGCTGGGAAAATGCTCCACAAAACCTGAAAAAAAAAAAAAAAAAAAAAATTTCTGCTCCTGGAGGCTGAAGCTTAAAAAACACTAATAGCATAAAGTAGTGTGCATGGAAACATAGGATGATATTATTTAGCTTCGAGGACCAGAAAAAAAAGCTAAAAAAACAGCTTCTAGGTGCTTAAAAAAATGCTAGTGTGCATGGAGCCTTAAAGTATTACTAAACCCACTCAGTTTTGTCTAATTATGGAAATTGTTCTTGTGTTCATTGAGATATTGATTGAAATCTTACTTTTCAAAAGGAGTGTACTCATTTATGCTGAGTAATAAATATACTGTATATAGTATAAAAAAAACTGCACAAACAAAGTTTTACTAACCCCACAACAGTACAATCAGTCTGTATATGCAGTAAAGCATGCTTGTTATAATCACTGTGGAACCTAAGGGGATAATCCTCTGCAGTGTGTACAAGGGTTGTTTGATCCTGTCTTCTCTGATCCTCCACTGTTGCCAGTGTCCCCTTCTTATCTCCTGATAAGACATATAGTGTGTGGAGACACTCTGCACATGCTCAGTTTGCTGTGTATTGCTAGAGAGGTTTTTGTTTTTCTTGGGAGAGTGCATGTGATCAGCACAGGACCAATCAGCACTGTCTAGACAGAGGTCAGGGGTTCAGCATCCTCCTAGAGCAGAATGAAAACTCCTACAAGCCTTAACATGTGCTTGGCTGGACACTGATAGAAGTCACAAGACTGCTCTAACTGCTGATGAGAAAAAGTAGCAGTTTATATTTACTAAAACAATTGTATTTCCATGTTCTGTGTACTCTGGGAGACCAGATATAGTGAATGCAGGGACCTTGGTTTAGTAATACTTTAATTGTGAGAATTACACTATCAATGTCTAAGTGACAACAGGTAAAATCACTTTCTCTAGCTGCTTATGCAATTGTCTCTTACCTTCCTCGCTCCCCCTTGTGCTTGTGAGTCATTCCAGGCTTTGTCTGTGGCATCAAATAGCTACTCCTATTTCAATGATCTGCAACCACATGCTTAGCTCCCGAGCAATGCTTCCATCTGTGTCCAAGCCATTTTCCTGTGTGTTTCTTTTAAGCCTTTTTCTTCCTTGGATTGACTTCCTGTGTACCATCCTCGACTGCCTGTGTGGATTTGTTCATCTGCCATCTTCCCCAACTTCTGGGCTGTAATAAGGTTTACGTATGTGTCCCCAAGCATTAGGGGAGGCTATGTTTTTTGCAGACCAAGCATAACAAAGACTTTGGTTGGCTGTCACCACATCCCTACACGTGAAGCACTCCACTAGCAACACACATAGTTACATAGTTAGTCTGGATGAAAAAAGACAAAAGTCCATCCAGTTCAACCATTAAAAAAATAAAAATAAAACAAGTTATAATCCTATACCCACAGTTGATCCAGAGGAAGGCAAAAAAACCAGCAAAGCATGATCCAATTTGCTCCTGCAGGGAAAAAAATTCCTTCCTGATCCCTTGAGAGGCAATCGGCACACCAGGAGGGGAGACGTGCAGCTGGATGGTGGGAGAGGAACTACACTGTTCACCCATTCAGAAACACAATTCTTAAGCTAGAGAAAAGTTTGCTGTCTGATCTGAAAGAAAAAGACTAAGTCATTGCTCTTTTTGAGTACTCCTGAAAGAGGGACTGAGTTTTCTACCTGGGAGAATTCCACACACAGTGGACAGCACCCCTCAGGGACTATATAGTGGTCAAAAACAATTGATCTGGGAGCATCAAAGACTGTGCATGCATCTGTTGTTTTCTAGACACAGTTCCAGAGTTGCTGTTCCCAGTTTCTGTACCAAAGACTGTCTGTTCCAGGCTATTAGGTCTGCTTTGAAAGAGACAGAGAGAGAATGTCTTCTAGGAATCCAGAAAGGGAGACATTTGAACCACCATTCATCATAAACCTGAAAGAAGGGAGTTCAGAGCTCAGGACATGAGGTATGATCCCTCACTGGAACAATGAGATATCAACCAGGTATTCAGAGTGCTGAGAAAACTGTTGACCAACCCAATTTGTACAATGTATTTTATTGCTCAGGTTGCTAATCTTGTTACTATCAGAAAGTGTAAAAAACAGCTACATTTCCAGTTGAAATAAAGAAGCATGATCTTTTTTATTTGCAAAAAAATATGTAAATCTGTTCATGTAGTTGGTTTCTAATTGAGACAGCATGCTAGGATCTGGTCCCCTTTTCCTTTACTGAAGTTAAGGTAATGCAACTTGGTCATAAACTGCCCCCAGTCTCATTGGACAATGCTTGAGCAGCAACACAAAAATGAGGTCAGTTCTATGCTCTCCTATCAGCCAACTCCCTGTGTACCATCCAATGTAGTCTAACTGCCTTTTGGTGCTGCTCTTCCCTCTACCAGTACAGATGGTTGCAGAAGGACATAAAAAAGACTGGGATACATAAAGAAAGTATTTCATTTTAACCCCGGAGTCCTTTATTCGCTTGATTAATCTCAATTCTGCAATAAGGGGATTCCCAGTAGGCCCTAGAACTTATAGAATCTCTGCTTATGCAGATGACCTGCTTTTTTGTCTCACCCATCTTAATATATCCATTCCAAACCTGGTCAAGGCATTTCAATATTTTGGATACATCTCCAAAATGAAAATGAATTACACAAAATCTAACCCTTGCTCCAAATACACTCAACATGGCAAGTTCCATCTGCTCATTTAAATGGGAATCCACAGCACTTAGAAATCCAACTCACCTTTAATATTGCTAATCTTTATCAAACTAATTTTAAACCATTACTAGACAGTATTCAACAAGATTTGAAATGTTGAACGCTTAAACCATTTTCATGGTTTATAAGAGCATTATTATTATTTCCACACTTTAGCTATTGCTCTCCCCTCAAAATTTTTTAAACAATTATTTGCCATTCTCTGCAATTTTATCTGGATGGGTCAGAAACCACATGTTAGTCTTAATATCCTCACGAAAGCAAAAATTATAGGTGAGTTAAGTTTACTATTATGCTTCACATTTAGCAAGAATTTTGGACTGGAACTGTCATGCAGAGAACAAGGACTGGGTATATTTGGAGGGAGCATTGTTGTCTTCACCACTAAAATTCCTGACATGGATCCCATGGGGGAAACACCAATGTTGCATTTAGCAACATCTTTTGCTGGGTACTACATCGAGTGTGTTTAATAAGGTGATTAAGAAATGTGATCTATCTTCATCCCCCAGTCTGCTTACCCCTATCGTGCAAAACCCAGATTTGCCACCTAGCATGGAAGCACATATTATACCACCAAAAGATGAAAAGACACCCCTCTTAACAACACACTGTGTATTCAATAATAGGCTGAAGTCATACAATTCCATGAAGTCAGAATTAGGATGATGGCACTATTTCTCTTTTTGAACCTATCGCCAGTTGCACAATTATATATCCACTCCAACTGGAAAATGTTGTTTTATCAGACCTCTCCATTTGAATCTGTATGCTTGAAATGGCCACCCGTTGAAAATAACTCTTTCACTCATTTATTCGTGTCTTTAATCTGCCGATCAAGAAGGACCCCTAAAAACACGTGTCTCTGACGAGCAGTGGGAACAAGCTTGTACCTTTGCTCACAAATGCTCAATCAATACCAGATTACAAGAGACTTCTTACAAATTGTTAACAAGCTGGTACGGTACCCCAACAAAATTGAAAATGTGCTACCCACTGTGTTCGGATTTGTGCTGGAGATGTGGATAGGCCCAGGGAACTATGCGCCATACAGTGTCTGGTGGGAATGTCCGCTGATAGATCCCCTTTGGCATAAAATACGTGAGCTCATTGTTCACATCACTGAAACAAGCACTTACTCCAGCCTGTTGCCAATTACACATGTCCAATTGTTACAAGAAACTGTATAAACGGTCTTTGACTAGACACTTTTTAAACGCTTTGATTTCCAAATACTGGAAATCAACCTGAACACCATCAATTACTGAATGCTTATATTTGGTAGAAGCGATCTATGACTTGGAGGAGACAGTGTCCTATTGCCAAGGAATCCACTGAAAAGTTCTGTAAAACATGAACACCCTGGCTTATGTTTCGTTATTCAAGCCGGTAAACTCAACTAACAATAGGCTGATTCCCCATCATTGTTTTTGAAGCTATCCCTCTATAACCCAAGAATAAAACTATAGTGTACTTTTGTTTTCTTATTGAGTTTGCTGTGAACTGACTGGACTGTTATAACTCTCTAGGAATGAGCAATAATTACAGTATAATTTGACTGATCAAGCCACCATGGATCACCTTTTATTTTATTTTTTGAATCATTCTTGTAACCTATATATTTTGTTTTTGTAACCTCTACATTGTATATTGTGATTAATATTTGATATTTGGCCAATAACAGGAATTAATACAGTTTTGCTTGGTTTGTATGCTGCACTTCATATATAGACCATTTGTCAGGATTTGTTGGATTGTGTATTTGAAAGTGTTTAAACCTTGTTCCTGGGTTTCTAAAACACTGTATTTGATTCCTTTCAATAAAAATATTATTGAGAGAAAAAAATCCAAAAGCAAACATTATTATATTTCAGCTTACCAGTTCTTAGATGTGACTGCTGCATTAGTTTTCTTTTTTAAGCTTTATTTCCCTTATATTCACCTGGTGATCTGGCCGGTAGGTCTGTTGTTTTTCAACAGAACTAGCTCTTCTACAGATGTATCAGTTACAGAGATTAGACAAACCATTTACTACTGGCAGGGGTGCTCACAATGATCAGCTTTAATTTAGTTATGTAAAACCTTTATCCAAAAAGGAATAAAAACTATAAAGTGTTAGCTGGAGCTCAGCTTCCATTTGTTAATGTATTTAAATCTGCTAGTCCATCCAACACTCCCCTCCCCCCGTACTGACAATGCTGCTGTCCAAAGGTGCCCCCTGTGTTCTTTCACCCAGAGTGGGGGCACTCTAATACAATAGGGAAGTTATTGGCCAGATCACCAGGTGAAAACAGAGGGAAAGAAAGCCAAATAAAAGAAAACAACACAGCCACCACTTCTATGATTAGTAAGCTGCAATATATTACATTTTTGATTGTGGGTGTAATTTATTTTTTTTTAAGCAATATATAGATAGGTTTTTTGGGTATGTGCTTGTTTAAAGTGGTTATAGAAGGTCCAGGTGATGTAATTGTACTTCACCATTGCCTGCTAGAAAAGCTGGGCGCTCAGAATCCCACAAGAATGCACTCCTGCGATTGACTGAGGCACATTTCTGTGGGGTTCTGAGCCCTCATCTATCCCAGGAGGCAGCGGTGAGGCACAGTGATGCCACCCAAGCCTGCCACAAGGATTGGAATATAGGGCCAAGGTAAGTATTTATACATTTTTTAAAAATGCCTTTTTAATCGATCTGAGGGCGGGGGTTGTCAATAGAGAGAACCTCCCATTTTCATAAAAGGTCTGCTTTATGTGCATGCATGCTATGTAGGGATAGGTTCAGGCGTGTTTGAATCCTAGTCTGAACTTGCCTGAGCTATCCCTCTGAGGAGCTGTCATTGTGGACTGTCAAACAAAAGTGGCCAAGGCATTCCCCAACCCATAGCTGTATGTATACGAAATATGTGTATACATATGGATGTGGGGTGGGGAATGCCTTGCCCCCTTATGAT